CAAATAAATAAATAAAAAATCTTAAAAAAAAATAAAAAATAAAAATCTTTATAAAAAAAAAAAAACAGAAGAGCTTTAAACAGCTTGCAGATTATAAAACTTTCCAAGGGATAGCCTGAGTGAAGTAATAAATACTCTTAAAAAGTAAAAACTAAAAAATAAATAAAAACTCCTCCTTCGCTGGGTGCTACCCAAACAGCATATCATCACTTCTCATTTATGTACATTGTGTGGCAAAATCAAGGCTCGTTGAGTACTGGGTATACTGATATGTAGATAAACATTACCAGACAATGGTATAATACAAGTAGATATAAAGAACTACAGGAACACATGAAAAGAGGAATCTAACTCTGCCTGTGGCAGGAGTTAATGCTTTACAAAAAATACAAAGATATACTCATATATATTATGTATATGTGTATATACACTAGACATTGGGCATTGGAATTAGGTACTAAAGAATGAGTAGCAGTTACTTATCAGAAATAAAGGCATTCTAACAAAGGTATGGAAAGAGGTTTGAAACACAGTCATGCTGCATTTGGGAAACAGAGGTGTGTCCTGATCACAGAGCCAGAGTGAAGGGCAGGGGCACAGGTAAATGAATTCAATGATCTCCTATGAAACTCCTGAAATGAACCAAGATAGTAGTACTAATGATGTACCTTGGGACATCTGAATGATGCCATTAGGCTGCAGAGATACTTGATGCTCAGCACTGTCTTTTAAATGAATAAATGTTCCCAGCCTATGTGCTAATCTAGTTGATGTTATGCTCTTTCTTCAAAACCATCTATTATCTACCATCATGTTTCATAATGGCTCCACATTATGCTTAATTTGGCATTCTTATAACTTCTACCCAGTAACTGTTATAATTAATGTGCCTTTAGTGCAATAGTACATCAACCCCTATACTATTTAGCCTGTTATGTCTCTTTTGCGTCTCAGCTTCTACTAGTAACTAGAAGGCAAATTATAGAATGTTCCTCAGAGAATCCACATACCAATTACACTATTTAATCTTTACAACTTTGGCTTACTGACTACTGTCTCTACTTCCAGATTTTGGCTCTAGATACCTAAGGATTCAAGAAAGCTAATGATCACATTAAGGTATGCCATACCTTCTTAAAGCTTCTAAATACTACCAGGTTAATACTCTAGAAAGAACTGATTCATCCCTAAAGAGAAATTTTTAAGAAATTCAGTAATATATATTTAATTATAGAAATACTTCACCTAAGTGAATTCTCCATATGATTCACCTAAGTGAATTTCCCATGCTTAAATAACACTTTAATTTTGGGACATTTCTGATAAAAATAAATCTTTCTAAAATACATATACTTTCTCATCTTCTTAAATAGATGATATTAAACTATCATTTGATGTCTCATAGGCGTAAGTATTCATCACTGAATGGGTGAGTTCTACTCTACTAATTCTAGCCTCTTTCATTTCTGTACCCACATTTTATAGTTTTTTCCTACATCCTGTTTTGACTTTCCAGAGTCATTTCTTAAAACTATTCATGTGCTATATCTAATAATGCTAGCCTGATATAGATGGGAAGGATAAAGAAAAAAGTTTATTAAAACCACATCACCCATTTAAAACAATAGTAACATAAGCTCAGAGTGAATATATGAGGAATGCCTCATGAATAGAGTACATTATCTTTGGTTCATGGACCTTGTAATACCAATTCTGGATAGTAAGAGACTGGTTTCTCTATTTTTTCTCAACAAAGTAAACTAGACCAATAACTTCCACAAAAATGCTGTTGGTAAACAATAAAACACTAAAAACAGCCAGCTACATTTATTTCCCTTAATCATTCCAAATTTCTCACCAACTTCCAAACACATACACACACACACAAACACAAACACACAGTGTACTTAAGATTAAAAACAGTAAGTCCAAATGACACTACAGACAAAGGGCTGATATCCAAGATCTATAAAGAACTTCTCAAACTCAACACCCAAAAAACAAATAA